CTGCACCTTTACCTAGCTCGAACCGAAATGAATTCACCAGTATAGCGCCAAGCAAACCTGGACATTTGTACAGTCTTATCAGGTTCTGTACTAATGGCTGACTAACTTTTTAGATATCTAATATTTCCAGAATGATATTGGACAGTTAAGAAATTGAAAGTTTGGAAGGTTCATTTCATATATAAGCAGGTTAAGGATAAGGCCTGCAAATCTATACAGCCTTGCCACAATCTTAGGGGGCAGGGGACATATTCGAATGATGGCACCGTCAATTTTTTTAATAACTCAGACATGGTGTTTTGAAGGATCTGGAAACTTCTGATATTTCTCTGTCATTGTTATTCTTTCTTGTTTGTGTGTAGGAAATGAGCACTATTTTTGGGGTTTTATCCGAAATTAAGCATTTTGGTAGCTTTGTATGTATTTGTGACTCTCCGAATGGAGGTGAAAAAGTTAAAAATCAAGCTTTGACAGTTGGCGCCAAACAGGTAAGAAATTTCGGATAAATTTATGTGAAAAATCTAAACGTATGACAAACACTTTATTGGTAATTTTTGAAAATGCCATAGCTTGCACTGTGTGTTAGTGATATTTTTAAAGGAATCGGGCGGATTCTGGAGTATGCTGCACCTTCATGAAGATTGCCCATATTGGTATATTTTGGGTGTGATTTTGGCTGGGTGGGGTAAATATAAATTGCTGTCAGTCATGTTCTTAAGGAGTAATGCATGCATGCAAACTATTATTTTCTTCAATGTATGTCATATATCATTGAATAATGCTGTGCAACTGGTTATCTGCCTGTGAAACAGATTTTGAAATATTTGGAATTGTGTTTCTGGCCATACTGAAATACAAAATTGTTCATTTTTAGGTCCCCTGCCCCCTTATCTGCCATCTCGGCTGATATCAATAGTAACGCTTTTATCCGAAGTTTGACGGAAAGGGCCGAGAAGATGCAATTGAGTCTTACCAGTGTTAGCACTGTCGCATTCTCAAATCTTTTTTTCTTCTTACAGCCCATCAGATAACCTTGTCTATAACAAGAAGATTAGTTATGGGTACAGGACGAGGGTTTCTTCAAAAATGTTTTCTTACAGACGTCAGAAGACAGTTTGCTAGGATTAACAACAAATTGTCAGAGGATAAATTGTTGTTTGTCCTAGCGAGCAGTTCTCTTCACGTCTGCAAGAAGACATTTTGGAAGAAAAAACGAGTAACTGTATCTGACATATACGACGTTTAAGTGTAAAGGACAGATACTTAGCACATTTAATAATAGAAAGATCTAATTGAAATTGAATTTTAATGTATGTTCACGTTGAAAATATAAAACTATAGAAAATATCTGCATGGCTTTTAAGGTTTGGGCAGTGAATGTAAATTGTATTCGCACGAAATTTTCGTGCACTTATTTCAATCGGACACAATTCACTTTCATTTATGATCAACAATGTATAAATGGCTACCTTCATTAGAGAGACCAATTATGTCATTCAGCATTGAAACCGTCTCTGAACATGTTTTTCGTCAATGTTTTGTGGATAACGTTTTGAATCCGGAATTTGGTAAGTTAAAGTATTCAAATGCTTAGCTTCATGCAATGTGTAGCTGTATATGGCCAATGATTTTCTGACGGTCGGGGTTGGGACAAAAAATGTCATTTTCATGTTGTTTTTATAAAGTGTCAGACGATATATAAAAAAGATATAGCTTAAGCATCATCCAACGAACAACTGCTAGTTTCGTCAATGCTAAAATCAACAGTAACTATATTCCTGGAAATGGCCATCCAATTTATTTGATTAATTTCTCGATTAACTGAATTTACTCATGAGTTGCGCTATCAAGTTCGCTACAACTTTCCGTCGGTTTCTATGGTGTCCTGTTTGAAGCAGTTAAAATATCGCCTGTTACGATTTAAGATTAAAAAATCTCTTGTTTTCGCTCGACTATTCGAAAAATAGGAAGGGCTATTGTAATTGTGAATTTTGACAGAACTATGGCCCCTTTAAACTTAGAAAAGTCTCCTTTATACCGGGTATTGGTACGCGATTAATCTTTGAGGCATGGAGGAGCAAGTGACCTGTTTTCAATACATAGAGGTGCACTTGATCTGTAAACTGTTCATGATTGGTTTGTTGACCTTTTCGAAAACCTAGCTAAACGCCGTTTTCCGGTGCGTTACGCATTTAGCTCTAGAGAATAACACCTTATTATAAGTACATATTACTATGCGTGATATTTCTATTTTTCTATCATCATTTTACCGCTTGAGGTGGAAAAAACTTGATGTGTTTGTAAGTTATTAATGTTGCTTTAATTTCTATCTTAAATTTCTCAAAAACTAAATTGATTATGTAATGGAAATGTAAAATATTAAAACATTCGTAGTAGCATCTGCCATAATAATAGTATATATATTCTGCGTAGTCTTATGTGTTAACGGAATTATTCATACAATGGTACTTAATAATTTTCTTAAAAAGAAATAATTGTTTTTATTTCACAGCAATCCAAATACCAAAAACATTCAGATCGTTATTACACGCCATTTATGAATGAAACAGACGGTCGAACTACTAATCGCCCTCTCCGGTCTTCGACGGTGACCGGTCTCCAAAGACTTTTTCTATTGACTATATTCTCGATACAAACGGTTTTTTTAAAACAGTTTTGAAAAGAGTAAAATGAAACATCTCTAAATTATTAAATTATTAAAAATTTCCTCTGCAGGAAACCATTTTAACTTGTTCAGACTCTTGTTTTACTATCAAGCACTGAGAATATTCGAGCGCACTGGATCTAGTTAATACATAAGTAGCGAGATTTAACATACATGGTCGAAAATCTCTAACAGATTGACAATGTTTTCAGTATTGTATTGGTACGGCAAATCTTATAAAAAAGGATTTTTAACTTCTAAGTAGAAGTTTGTCACTCTCACATACAAATAATCAGGGGTTTTGACTCCTTAATAGGAGAAATTTGTATAACTGCAACTTATAGAGCATGCTTAATAATCAAAGTTTATTTTCAAATTATCTATAAAGATGTAAATTACCATTTTTGAGGTGTTTCTTCGGTATGTACAAAAAATTTTCGACGAAATCCGAGACATCCGTGACAGTTATCAAAAGAACTCCTTATATTATCCGTGTAACACTTTCTCTCCCAATGAAATTTACTGTTTTTCTAGTCAATGGCCAATGGAATTGAACTTATTTTCGTAATGTAAATATACCATATAAGTTTATCACCTACCTGTTTTAATCTGTAAATTTTAGATTTTTGTCATCACCGGCACTCCTTATGCATTGTGCAAAAGTATTATCTCATAAGGTTGAGACTTTAGAAAATCAAGTGCAAAATCTTGATCACTGAAAAATCTGCGGGCATATCCGTCTTAGAAATCTAACGAAATTCCTCGATCCTGTGTATGAGTTTTCAGCAGTTTTTATCTCTGAAGATAAGTCCATACAGGTAGTTAATTTTTAAACTATTTAAGATGAAGTTATGATTCTTTTGCCGTGCACTCCCACCTTTTGTTATTAAGTTATATTTTAAGTTTCACTGGAATTTCAAAATACAGGTAAACACAGAAAATCATAACCTTTAACTTTTAAGTATGACTTTTGAGGTTATATCTGGTTGTTGAGCATGATACACCTTCTTATTATGGTAATTTAAATGATATGTTGTCTAAGAAGGGTGAACATTTGTGCCAAATAAATTTAAAATCTCTTGATTGATAACAAAGTTATGCAACAGACACGAAAAATTAACTCCATCAAACAATGTTGACAATTTAGGAGCATATTCCATTTTACCCCGTAATATGCTCCATTTTGCCCCTAAAACAGGGCTAAATTGAACATTTCACAAGAGACGGTTTATTTGGTGATAGCTTCTACACCAGAACAGAAGAGGGTTATCTTTAAACATTATATCAAATTGTAGTAATATCGTGATACATTATGATTGTAGATTCATTGATAAACGTATAAGTTAAGTATAAATGGGAATAAATCATGGCATTGAACTAGTTTAGTTTAATTATTTGCGTTGGACAAATTCACGCTTTAGATCGTAATTATTTTACATATATTTAACGATTTAAAAAAATCGTATTGAATGAGATAATGAAAACACAATATCGTGACAGTATGATAATAATAATACGACAGCACTCGTTTACACAGAACGGTTAGGAATATATTTCGAATTTCTGAAATGAAGCGAAGTAACCTTTGTAGCTATTTAAGTAGCAAATAATTAGATTATTTCCCTTACATATTTCATGCGTTTTTGTGTGTTTTGTTTTTTAAACATCTAAATAGGATATTCTATAGTTAAATATATTTTTTTTGTTATACAATGAAAGAAATATTAATCGAGATACATGCTTTAATAGATATAGTATCAGATTAAGATTGTGTTTCTAGGGAAATCTGAAGTACAGTTTTGTTATACGTCAGCTGATCAATTCTTGTTTGTTTGTTTTTTCATTGAACAGAACAGAACAGAATTAGAAACATTGACAGCCTTATACATGTATATAGCTATAACCCTCAATTCAGAACTTTGTTCATTCCTTAAAATCAACAATTGTCTGCTTTGTGACACAAACGTGTATAAATAAATAAATAAACAAACAAATAAATAAATGAAAATATAAATAAATAGATAAATAAATATGATGATCAGTAACCTATAAACGTACTCCGAATCTGTTATAAAACATTGCATTTGGTTGGACAGGGCTGAATTTCAAAATTGCTTGTATCTATATACCTTATAAATCAACATAAAATAATAAAAATAAAAACAATTTTGCATTTATGCCAAAAGCTCCGCTTATAATAAAAGTGTTTTCTTACATGAAGAGATAATTGATATAATCATGGTTATTGATTACTTCATGGAAAAACATTTTTTCTTAAAATTGTTCAGGCTATTTTTTTCTGTTTTTATTGCTTTACAAATAGTAAAATGTTAAACCAGGACGATATAAACACTATGTCTTAACATTTTGTATTTTAATAAGGTTTATTGATTTAAAAGTTAGATTTGGACTTTGGATCAATATTTTAACAGATAAACAGACAAATGTGCATTGAAAAGGGACGATTTTGTTATTGGCAACCGTAGTACACTTAACTTAGCAATAATTGGAGACGATTATCATACATAGAAAGAAAAAATGAAGAGTTAAATATCATAACAGGAGTAAAAAGAGAAATTGGAAAACTTGGGAACTGTATTAAACTTTTGCTATATTGTAAATTAATCTGTTTAGTTGACAGTGAAACGGAATTGGGACATCTTTATCGGTGAATAGATCAGTTCAGATAACATATTGAACAAATTTTCTTTAAAATGGCTACTGGTAGTCAAATAGATACAGATATTCTTTCAGATGAAATGTTTGACGTATTATGTTCAATGTGTAAAAATAAAGGAAAGAATACTGAAGGCGAAAAATTCTGTGTAGACTGTCACGATTACTTTTGTATTACTTGTGTTCAAGTTCACAATGAAGTACCTGTATTAGTTGGTCACAAGGTGTTGGATAAGTCTCAAATAAAGACCAGCAAAGGTCTGCCGAGGGCATCAACAGAGAGATGTGACAGACACAGTCATAAACACATTGATATGTACTGTCAGGACCATGATAATGTTGGCTGTTCTACATGTATGGCAGTTGATCACAGGTAAAATTTACTATATAAACATAGATTATTTTCTCAATTAATATATGGAATGTTTAATAGGTACTTAAAAGACTTTACACAATATTCTATCTTAGATCCTGATTTGATACAGAAAATATAATATCATCTCATAGATTCATATGTTTAAACTGTGTGAACTTATTTTTCAGATTATGTAAGGACACATTCTACATACCAGAATTTATCCAAAGAAATAATTACCAAGATACATTCGGAGAAATACAAACAAAACTCAAGGAAATAGCTAAGAACCTTGCAAAACAAACTGACAGATTTAAACAGAATAAAGAAAGGCTGTTAAGGAGGAAAGCAGAAATACTCGCTGATATCAGAAAATTCCGTCACGAAATCAATGACCATCTTGACAATTTGGAGAAAAGTTCTATTGATGAGATAGAAGATGAAGTCAAATGTCTTGAAGACAAAATTGAAGATGGCCTCAAACAGCTACAAGCAAACAGGTCCATGGTTATCTCAGCTAATGATAAGTTAGCATCTAAAAACGCAAATCCATCTGAAGTGTTTGTTTATGTGAAGATGGGAGAAGATGCTGCAAATGTTGCCAACAACTATATAGAAGATGCAAAATTACTATGCACAGTAGAAGACATCAAGTTTCAACCTGATAGAACATTTCTTACACAGCTAGAAGAAAAGAAGACGCTAGGCATATTGAAAAAGAAACATACAAAAACGTCTGTCAATTTATTTCAGATTAAAGGAAATCAATCATATAATGTAAAAGTTGAGTCTGATATAAACGATTGTTATATCACGAGTGCCTGCTGTATGGAAGATGGTACAATAATTCTAGCTGATCACAATAACAAAAAGCTTAAAAGGTTACACAGTTACAACTATAGTGTCACAGACTACTGTGATCTATCTGGAAAGCCATGGCAAGTGTGTATGATCAATAACACACAAGTAGCAGTAACTGTTCCATCACAAAACGAAGTTCGTCTCATTTCTGTAGAAAGACACATGAAAACAACAAAAAAGATAAACACTAAATTTGAATGTTATAGTCTTGCATATGCAAACAATAACTTTTATATTTCAGACAATCGTACATCAATATATCTGTGTACATTGTCTGGCACGAAACTGAAACAATTCAGTCAGGATCAATCAGGACATAAGCTATTCTCCAACAATCACAGTCTAGCTGTCAGTCAGGATGCTACAAGGATTTATGTTCTTGACTGTAATAGTGGACTGATGGTACTGGACAACAATAGTCAAGTTATTTCATCATTTAATGTTAATCAATTAAATGACCCTAGGTATTGTTATCTCACAGAAGCAGGCAGTGTGCTGGTATCTGGATTTCGCTCCAAAAATGTTTTACAGTTTACATCTGATGGTGTGCTGATAGGGGAGGTTATAAAAGCTGATAGTAGCAAACAGCACATAACATCAGTCTGTTGTAATCATCAAATGACTAAGATGTGCATAATCAGAGTTGATGACAACATTGAAGTTTATGACATCTAATCTGTTAAAAAGAAGAAGAAGAAGAATCTTTAATTTGCAAATTGACTCATAAAGAGTCATATACAATTTTTCATGATAAATACAATTACATGTACATGTATGTTATATGTAAATTCTTAATTAAATAGCAAGATAGCGTAACTGCAAGTATTGCTTTTCTTTCATTATTAATGGTAATCATTCATTAAAGTTTCAATTTACAATTTATTATTTCTAGAGGTGCTGCATTAATAGTTATAATAGTAATAGTAATTATAATAGTAAGACATACTTAATGTATGAATGATACTTGTAATCTGGGAGAGACAGTGTCAGATATCTATGAAGTTCGAGATAAATTTATACTATTAAAAATGATACTTGATTTTGATTTATTACAATATAATATGACATTAAACATTTTAAACTATACTTTTGAACGTATTTTGTTCAAATTTGATACAGGTAGGACCAGTGTATGATTTGAAATTTTCAAATTTATAGCTTTTATATTTGTTTTCATTTTTTTATAATCATCGTGTTACTTTAACAATTAAACGTATAACACACAAAGAAATACAATGTATCAATTATACATTTATGTACATTTACACAACAACTTATATAAGAGGCGTTCAACAAAGACACGAACAGTGCTGTCATATTTTTAATACTGATTGGAAATTCGCGTTCTCTTTGCATGTTGTAAATAAACAGAGTTCAATAAAATCGGATAAAAATCTGGAAACAAAGTGATCCCTCGGAAGCATTAATCACAACATAATTACAAGAGAATTGCAGAGGTGATTGGATTGAGTCTGTACATAATTAAAACTTAATTAAGACTTAATTACAAAATAACATGTATCTCTAAGATCATTCCAGTTAAGCCGGTCAAACGCCGTAGCGACATCACGTTCAACGCATGGGCGAGTTTCACAAAAAAACAACAACAAGAAACCACACATCTAGCATTTCTCGAAATATTCCCTGTGAAAGGAAACGCACTTTTTACAACGGTAGACCCATGGCAGGAAACTGTTAAAGTAAGGATCGCCATCTATCGCCGAAATTACACATTGCACGGTAGCTCGTCCACGTCATTGAAGTGTTCTCCCAGCATAACGTTCTTCAGTGTCGGGAACAGAAAGAAATCGCACGGTGCCAGGTCGGGGCTGTAGGCCGGTTGATCGAGTACTTCGAAGCCGAGTTTCCTGATTGTGTCCCTTGTTTTCGCTACACGATGACAGGGTGCGTTGTGGTGATGGACTATTATGTCGGCGATTTTCGTTCCCCTCTTCTTTCATAAAAATGCGTCTCGGAACCTGAAAGCATAAAGGAATGCAATCATAAGTAAATTGTTGTAATGATTTGTTTTCATAATTACTTACACAAATATTAATTATTATTAAGGAATGTATTGACTTTAGAATGAATACTGTTTTATAGATCGTTAGAATAATACTTCGCCGCCACCGTCTTACCCAGGGGTTCCGCATGATTTTTAAACTCGAGAACGGGACCGCAGATTGCGGCGCATTTTTTCGATCGTGTAACGGTTTTTAAAAACGATTCTGCTACGTCTAAATATCTTTTAGTATTATCCGAGTATATGGCCTAAAAAAATATATTATCAATTGAACCCAATCTATCTCTTTTAAAAATGTTATGGTATTATAATTGTTTTTTTCAATATACCGTAAATTTGACTGATTTTTAAATAAGCAGATTATATTAAATTGAGATTAGATAATTAAAGACCACCCGCTCGCATAATATGAAAAGATATTCAAAGGTCGGACAAACAATATGTAAAGCCGGTACGGATTCGGATTTATGCGCCGCAATATGCGGTCCCTATGCGCGTATCGTCACAGTGCATGTTATTTACAACGTGGGGTAACCAAAGGGGAAATTTAATGTGTATATTACCTGTCTGCCAGGGGTGAGTAACCAGAAGCTTTCGTTAAAATCATGCTAACGAAAGCGTTAGCGATCGCGTAACGAACACGTTGGTTATTTTTACGATTGTTTTTGTTGCATAACCAGAAGGTATCGTTACCATATCGCTAATCAGTCGTTAGTAAAATTCATTAACGGAATCGTTGTGTAATCGTTAAGGGTACACACAACATTTTGGCACCACCTGTTATTAGCTTTTCCTGCATAGATTACATTGCACGTACAAATAATTTAAAAATGTTTGTACAAATGTACAACCATATATCTGTGAACGCACAACTGCTTCAAAGAAACAGTTGACACTCTTTATAAATCTTTTTGTTTGTTTGTATGTTTTTTTTGTATGTATATATGTATATCATACATTCGCCGTAAAACGCATCTAACGGAATCAATCCTAAGTCGTCGGATATACAATACAATACAATACAATACAGTACAGAATAGAACAGAACAGATCAATTTTTTATTTCGATATGTACATAGTACATAATCATACTAAGTGTGATAATACATTGATAGAAATGAATAAACAATACAATTTAAATACAAATTTTCAATGAATTAAAATAAACTTTGAAGACAATGTCGCGTTACATTTTAATGACGTCATTTATAGTACGAGCACGGGTAATTATACTAGAACGTTATTTCAAATAAAAAAAATGATATTATAATGTTGATGATAAACTGTTTTAAACGTAATTAAATATACATGTTTATATCACAGATATATCATCAGAAAATATCTGCAATATACATAAAAATGTTTAATGGAATTTGTATGTTCTTTAATACAGATGTATAGATTAATTAAATTTATCAATACAATACAATACAATACAATACAATAAAATACAATACAATAAAGTTTATTTGCTCTTAACATTATACAACGTTCTAGCAAAATATATAGACAGGAAACAACTGAACATTTTGGATTTGCACAAAATAGAAAAGGAGAGATTAGATATAAGTTCATTGCCTCATCTTTAAGATACAGAATATTTCGGTCTTGACAGGTTTGTTATATGTGTGTGATGAAAAAGAGGAATACACTATTTAAGAGTAAATGTTAAAGTGCAAAGTAAATAAAAAAACAATAACACTTGGATACTTTTCGAGATAAATATACAATGATAGAAAAAAGTGAAATAATCTCTTACCGGTATATGCTAAATATATAATATAAATATATGATTTGATATTTCTTTGTGATGAAATGCACATAAATAAGGATTTATACACAATTTAAGAGAAATTGTTAATTATATTTCCTTTTAAAGGCAAAGTATCATTTTTTTAATAAATGTGAAATATTTTTTTAAGAATAATGTAATAAAAATGTTTCAAACTTTATGATTATTGGCCAATGGCAATAATATCTTCGCTAATATCTTAATCGATGCTTGCGAAGAACACTTTCAAAAATATTGACGCTAAATAGTAACGTAGTTTTTGTTTTTATTTTAATGAATGAACTGCTTTTTCTGTAAAACGTTTTTTACATAACCTTTGTTACACACTGGTGAAAATTTGAAAATTACACTGGGAAACAAAGCAAGTTTCGATTAATTATCTTTACATTTTTAATGAAAATAGAGGTAACCATTAATTTAAATCATATGAAACGTATATAATGGTTTTATTAATATACTCAGATGAATTTCATTATAACCCAAAACGTCAAAATTTATCCATAAACTGTCTTACGCTCTTTCATTGTACATGAATGTGTTTATGCTGAATTCCTTAATTTCACTTTGTACATATAACTAGTATAAGGTATAAGTCTTTTAAGTATTAAAAACCTGAAACTTTTATGTAATATTATATCTATTTGATTCCATACATGAAAGAATGTAATGTGTTGTTAAACATGCAATACAAATAGTGTTAGCTTGTTTCTAGAAATAAGGAAATATGAGGAAATGACACAGATAAGAAAGAATACTAGCACATAAGATATCTATAGGGCGATCTACAAGTCGTGTATTCTCTATGTCAGTTGATGACATAAATCAACCTCCTTAGAAGCATTCATGTAAATATATAAGAGTCCAAAGTATGCCAGTTATCTAAATTTTCTAGCAGCATGGCGGCCATTGTCTGCGGAATGAAAAAACAACATCATTTGTATAAAGATATTTGGAATTATTCTAAAAATCATTTACGAACGAAATGCTCACTCAAGTTTAATGAGTACGGTATGTGCCATTAATTAATTTTATTATTATTGTTAAACTTAGCGTTAAAGGTAAATTCTAATGGATATTTACAGAAATTTCGTTTGGATCTGTGAGTTATTTATTGTTTATGTGAACTAAATTATAAAATTAAAAGGAATTATGACAAAATGAAAACTTATTTTGATCTTCACCCGTTCACTCACTACATACCATTGGATGGGCATAATGTCACTTTAACGTATTATTTTGAAAATGAATGCAGTAGATGCAAAGATAACAACAGGAAATAATTTTTTTAAATGGTCAATATGCAGATATTTGCCGCTGCTGTGTCAGCAAAAAGCAAAGTCACACTGGAAGTTCCAATTTTTTGACCGCATAATAAATTCTATACTTCTTAAAGGACTAGTTCAATTTTGAGCTCAAATGTTCACTTTCAAAATAATGGACTTACATGGAGTGTCATAATTGGTTGGGATATTTGTCACTCCAAGCTCAATTTGATTATGAAAATTGACAAAATGAATGTTCAATGATAAACATTGACAAATGCATACAACATGTTTATGTGATAAAGTAATAGATTTTGTTCACAAATGCGTGTTCAATTTAATATTTTTCATATTGAAATTTCCTTTGCTTGTAAAAGTATGAATGTGCAAAAATATCTGGAAAAGGTGATCCCTCGGAAGCATTAAAATCAGCAAAATAACATGGGAATTGCAGACCCGGTTTGATTGAGTCTTTATATGAGTGATATTGAAAAAGTGCAATATCCCTTACGCCCCCTAGCACCAGCTTAAGCGGTACTCAAAAGTTCAGTTCTAGCACTTTGTATGTACAGTATAATTTGTATTGATTTTGCTAAACAACATTCCAGCGTACTTTTCTGTCATGATATCAGTTGATACATCTTGCTAGAGGTTATCTCTTTTATCAGTCCCCTACCGGTCTCTCTGTCAGTCAGTCCGTCCAAAAGAAAAATACTAA